ACTCATCTTGTACGTATACACACACACACACACACACATGTATAAGATACGCGTATATGTATTTATTTTTACGGCCAACCGACGCGATGAAATTTATCTTACACACTGTGCGTACAGCAAACTCGTGCTGTATTATGTACATAAATATATATATATATATGTGTAGTGGGTACCGCGCGACGTCGAGGATATTCGATTTCCAATAGCGAATCCATTTTGATTAACGTCTTCGCGACGCGATCGACTTATACCCCCGGCAATATCGCGTAACCTGGTACGAAATCCGAACGCAGAACGAATTTTAAATCTTCCGCCCAAAACGATACACGTATAAAGGTTAATGATCGTTTATCGACGTCTGTTGACTGACCTCTGCGTAAACATGCGTATTGTAATTTCTTCCGAAGTCCGCTGAGAGGGTAGTTTTGGCGGTTCAAATCCCCTCACACGCAGGTTTATATTGTTATAATAATGAATTGTAACATATACTACCCTCCCCGCTTCGCAAAACATTCCTGGGTACTCCCTTGAATACCGCCGTGGTGCTCTTCGTACAATATAGACACAACATTCATATACCATTGGTTTAACGTTGATCGAACTTCATAAGAGATCATTCGGCGGAAAAACAATAATACCAAATCGTATACACTGTACCTGGATGTGTTTTATAAATGAAAACCGCGGCATTCATCTGAATCTATCGGGTTCAAACAGTTTAACGAAGTGAGATAATCGTTGGGGGGGGGGGGAGAAAAAATGCAATAAAAATTAACGTAACACTATACACATGCCTACAGAAACCGTTATATTTGCGAATGCAAACATATACACGCTATAATTCATGCAATGCGAAAGTTACTGCGTATACATACATGCACGAAGCTCTCCGTTAGGTTCTTAAAAACATTGTAAACCGACTCGTATGGATTGTAAAAATATTGACGTGCAGTGTAATAACAATAAGATAATATCACGCCGTTGAAAAATGTGCGTAAACTTTCAAGTCAATATTTTCAAAAGGCGCACTACGCGCGAGCACAACAATGTAACCGATTATGTTGTGCACGGGTACGTGTACACAATTTGTGTAATTTTTCTTGTAAATTTACATATTGTACGCGTACATAAGTTAGTGCGTATATCTACGCGAGCGTGCGCGTGCTTATGGTGTAATGCGTAGCACACGCGGCAAATTCGATTTGACGGAATACAAAAACTTAAATCGTTTTATCGCATTACGTTGCGCAGAGTGCCGACATGTGCTTTTGTACATAAATATATATTATATTGGAGAGCAGAACTTGTTGAAAGAGTGCCCGGCAATTTGGCGCGTGGGAAAACTTTTTCTGTGTACTCGTGAAATCGAATAAGGATCGGAATACGTTGGGAATATTTTCGTGAGCGTTGCGTATTGCGCGTGGCCTACGGGGGAAATCGAACGGTATGCCGGTTTTAAAAACTATTCCGACGCGCGTGCAAGCAGTGGCGTGCGCAGGAGGGGATGATGGGGGATATATCCCCCCCCCTGGGGCAGTCATTGTTAAATGGATTGCGTTAATGAACATACGTCGAGACATTCCATTATCTACAGAACAAATTGTTGATGAATTTAGTATAAAAGCCAGGCCAAGCCAGGCTGAATTTCCGCCTTGATTGACATTTTTTTTTCTTGTATAGTAATAGAGAATAGCAATTGAAAATAACACATTTTTATGTATGACATCCCCCTCTCCCCATACCAAATTTCAGCGCACGCCACTGCGTGCAAGACATGTCGTGCCGTATTGTTCTCGGCCGGATCAATCGTGTGCAAGTCGCGCGAGAGGAACGTTATGCCGTGTTCCGACTTAGGGTAGGAGACAAGTCGGATTAATTAAAAATTAAAATCGATTTATCCTCGACACGAAGTTTTTCCGTCGTGCGTGTACGACTGTACCACCTGTTATATTAATGACACACGTCTTGGTAAAAAAATATTTCGTCGTTCGACCTTGATAAAATGTTCATATTTTATAACGTCAGTGTTCATAAAAGTGTTTTAAACGTTTTCTTTTTAATTTCATTGTTGTGTACCGTCGAATATCAAGTAGATATATTATCGATAGCAATTAAGGATAAACGCATTCGTTATTTTAAATATGCTCAACGGTGCTGTACCGATAATTGAACATTTTTCAACGTTTTTTGCATGCACCATAAGGTATATATGTTATATGTAACGTTGTTGTAGAAAAAACATACGTCTCGTGGAGCACAGAAAACCAAATTCGATTAAAACAGGGGCTTGAGGGGGAGGGGGAATTGCGATTTAACGGGAAAGCACATAAACATAACGCGAGACGTTATAGGGCCTGCGACGGAGACGGGAACATTTTTGTGTGTGTTTACATTAAACGTTCACTGCTCGGCGGTGCTCGTACATTAAATTAGGTGTGAAAAAATGCATACAGTTTTTCCGATCATCATTGCACCGCTCATCCGAGCACTAACTTATTCGTCAGCAAACCTCGAAGTATAACATGAACTCATTCCTATGTGTAATATGTTACAACGCATATTTTATATTTATTTTGAAAGACGTGAACACCGAGATCGGATTAGGAGCACACCGCGGATTGAAAGAATAATATATATTGTTAATGCTTAATGTGTGTGGTCAACGAAAAAGTTGCTCATATTGTTCGTGTAAGGCGAAAAGAAAATAATTCTTATAACAGTACAAGTATCTTTTTCGTCATACGTAAAATTTGAATAAAATCAAGTGAAATTGAAACCAAGTCGAACACAACGGTTTTGAATTGCAACTTTTGTTGAAATTTTCGCGAAAAACACCGGCTGCATTGTGCATTACCATATAATATGCTTGATCTTGAAATTAGGTTTACCGTTTAAATATTATTGTAATTTTTTTTTTTTTAATTTCAAACGTTTTCCGTTACACAGAGAAACGTATATGGAAATTTGATGGGGTTAATATTAATACGTGTGCTCATCGTAAACGATAAGGAGCTATTATTATAAAACGATTTCCCTTTACGCAGCGATATTATCTTAGCATTATTATTTTTCAAATGTTTGGTCAAAACATAATGTACGTGCGCGTATTATAATATATGTATATGTATGTATGCATCACATATTGTATGTGTGATACTCGTACGAAATAAATACGTATATAATAAAATGTACTTGGGCGTATACACGCACACGCACATACACATACACAGCCTTTTAACAGGTTCCTGCACGACCCTAATTAAGAAAAAATATATATACATGCGAGTTGAACGCGGGTTGTTTAGATATAAGATAATATATTTACGTAAGCCCGTACACGAGTGTAATAGTGAAAGGCATGCACACAAGGCCCTTACAACACACGTGCACATAAATATATGGTAATACACGTATAATAAACACTACGCAATTATACGAGTACGTATACCCCGAACCCACCCTTACGATTTACGGACTCACCGGGTCGTACCTGCGCAGCGCAGCCTCGTCGACGGTGTAGTTCGTACCTCGTCACGACGGAAATAATGATAGTGACGTGTCGATGCAACACCGTCTCCATCGTAAAATATATGCTCTGGATAACGCTGACACCGGTGTTTGCGTGGAATTCGCGTACCCATCGGATCGCCTTAAACAGCGTTCCTCAACTGGGGGATACGTAAAACAATGTTAAGAGGTCAAGGGGTAGGTGAATGAAAAAAAACATGAGAAACGATAGTCTACAATGCAAGTTGTTTAGAACACCTTACGTCCAGTGGCGTAGGTAAGGAAGGGGAGTGCTTACATCCCTCCGTTGTGCCAGTCCGTCCGTAGGCTACTAGTATAGTATAATGTATACAGTTACGATAGATTGTTGATATTAAAATTCTGTTCCTACACTCGGTCAATAATAAAATGTTTCGAAATTCGAGTGATTTAGATTCCACGCAATATTAGAAAATAGGTATCGAAATATTTTGTTTACGAATTAAGATATTCAGGTTCCTGTGCATGAACAGACCCGTAAGTTATCGAATGGCATTACAATTCTATACGAAACGGTTTGAAACAAAAACAAACAATGAGAGTGACGGACTCTCCTAACATGTTTATTCGCATGCACGTGCTTATACTTTCGTCAATTAATATGTAGACTGACGTGGTGTCTCGGAGTTGTTTTTTCATATCCCAGCCCCGGCTTGGCCAATTTTACGCGGCCTTTTTTCAACATTCACCCCTCCGCCCTACACCCATAATTAATCCGTCTTTACGTACCCCGCTCGCCTGTGCTGGAAGTCGTGCACGCACTTACCGTCCCTCGAGTGCGTATTTCTTTCGTATCCCATCGCGCGTCATTCGCCATTCGAACGCGTACACGATCAACGTAATCCGTTTTGTCCGTCGTTCACGTCGACGCGGAATTAAATTCTCTCGTTAAACGCTGCCCACGCCGGGGCCGATTACCGTTTACCCGTTCTGATTGCGTCCGACCGCTGGCTCTATCCTTTGAATACCTGTGCGGTAGCCCCTACAGCCGACGCGTACATACTCGAACCTACATCAAAAATAGTGACGACGACGAGAAATCGCAAACAACGTACAGACTAACAGTTTAGGAAGCGGGACGAATATTCACGACATAGGGCGCAACAGGAAAGGATTTTTAATATTTTTTGTATTACATTGATTGTAGTACGCGTGATCGTGATCCCCAAAAAGGATACACGTTTATAAAACTATAAATCTAATTGTTACCGGACGCCAAATCGTGACGGTCATAAAATAGATTACAAGTTGCACTGGAAATACGATTATTTTTGTACTACTCACACTTTGTACGCTTTCGGGTCTTTTGAAATATTCTAGATTGTCGTTTGTAATGCGACTTCTAAAGTTCTCTCCGTCGAAACGTATGCGGAGTCTCGGGAGACACAACGAACTTCTTATGTATTTATTTTTATTTATTATTTTTTTGACGGTTCACGTTTCTCGTTTTCCAGGTCAAAGTGATCCTGAGAGTGGCTAGAGGGCTGCCGACGGGATCAGCAGACGAACAGCAACCGAACGCCGGCGGACCGAGTAACTTCATGTCGGTGGACCAGAAGCACAGGCAGCTCACGTTGATTGATCCGAACGCGCCTCCGGCCAGTGACGGTAGTCGGCGCGTGGGCGTAGCCGCTCCCAAAATGTTCGCGTTCGACGCGCTGTTCACGCAAGACGACTCGCAGGTACGACAATACTGAAGTAATATATTAATAATGGCCGCGTAAGAAGTCCCGAGCCAACGCTTCGTGCGCACGTCACACGAGTGTATGAACACGTATAGGCGTCGATTTGGGAATATTATTACACGTCGTCCTACAATCAAAATTGATAGCACCTACGTGGGCGCAACCGCTTCGTGTCCGTTCGCATTCAATCCGGTAGAAACAGATTATCAGCAATAAAACCTAAAACTGTTAATAATTGACCATTGTTAACAGCCCATCTGCATCAAATTGAATTACAACCGATTACAATGACGAATAATCTCCAATGAGTAGATTTTCGATTTTTAAATATAACTGTTTCTTCAATTGACACGCTTAAATCCCAAACGGTGGAACGAACACTTTTTAGTTATAATGTTGTGTATTTTACTTGTTTTTAATACTTTACTAAGTTTTTTATTCCGGGGACTATCTAAACACAGATAAAATTTATAGTTTCCTATTCCTAGTTTCCAAACCTTACATATTTAGCTAATCGTGAGTCCAATATTTATTTTTAGAAAATCATTAGCTCCGTAAAATTTCAGTTTAACAACTTAAAAGGAAGGTTTTGTTTTAGGAATTGTATAAAGTGTAATTCAAAAGTGAAGAAAAACATACAGTAATATTTAGTTAAAATTTCCGCTGAAATTAAACATGAATTACAAACGTTTAATAATGCAGCATGTTCAGCTTCGCAATGACAAAAATATAACTATCCTGCACACGCTTTTATGTGTGATAATAATATTCGTATACATAAATATTATATACACTACTTAATACTTGTCCTGAATCCCAAGTGTGAAATTCGTAATAAGACTTTTGATATTACGTTCTAGTGAAACACGCGCACGGTAGGAACGTATTATTGTTACTAAAAACGTATGCTTTATACAAATCTGCACCTGTGTACATTTCGTTGTTCTAAACCGTCACAACGTTATGATCTCGACATAGAAAGATTATCACAATGTATTATGCTCGTTTGTTTCGTGACACCTATTTGTTACGTGTAGTCATAAATATTATCAGTTAGTTATTCAACAGCATTTCGTGTTTTATTATTTTACTAAAGCTAATAATGTATATATTCCGTAATGCATTACAAAACGACAATTAACGGACTAATTATTTATTATTAATTATATTCGTTCAAGGTTCGCAAACAGGGCCGACGTTAGCAAACATTGATGGTGGTGTGAGGGAGGTCATAAATACACACATTTTCCGACTATTTTCTAAAATAAAATTGTACAACACCAATATTACTTAACTGTTTGATGATTGCTGATTATATATAAAAATAATATAAAAGGAGGTATTACACCCTTCCCTAGCACCAGCCCTGTTCACGAACAATAGGTACTACGTTGAACAGCAGTGATTTATTTACGCAATGCTCAAAGTCACTTAAATCGCATCGTTATATTTATAGACGGAGTGTTAATAAGTTCCGATTTTGGGTTTTAAATTTCATAATTTAATATTTTTCGACACATATATATTTTCATGTTTTTCGATAGTTATCGACATCTCGCACGTACAATAAAATCATCCTATATATATTATATATACATTATGTATATTATAATATCACATATTATATTATACTACGTACTTGGTAGTAATAACTTTTCGATTAAGTATATTTTACATAGACGATTGTAATTCGATTTCGAGTACGGTATGTGTATATAGTAGCGCAGAATGTTTGTTGAAGTTTTGCGAACTCATTTATAATAATAACAGTACAACATGATATGCTTTGCGTTTCGCCGTTTCCATTATTACGATGCAGTTATTCTTATCCGTTCCGAATGCACTAAATCTTTTCCTTGCATACGTCGCAGAAAGCAATTTCACCGAAACAATAACGACAAATAAATGAATTACAAATCGAAATATCGGATCGCATTATACGTACTGCTACAAGGTACAAAAATAATAATAAAAAAAAAAATGAAATTATATGCAAACAGATAAAAAAAAAAAAAATATGAAAATATTTACTCCCGTTCTTCGGACACGCGACGTTTGCGCAATGCGACGGTGATCATTTCAACGGATTCTGCTGTAGGTATAAGCGCACGCGCACGCGTGGACGAGCTCACACTCTCGTACACGCGCGGCCACGTTTAACTGCATTCCATGAGAGGAAGCGACTGGTACTGGTGGGGAGAGGAAGGATAGAAGGAGCTGGCGCGATTGTCGCGTTGGATGGCGGTGGGTGGAAAAGGACGCAGTGCACGAAAGACAGTATAATTCGAGCAACAGACATAAATCTCTGCTTGTGCTCCTATATATCCTGGTCGTATGTGGAAAGAGTACCACGAGAGGGCTTAAACGTATGGGATTTCCCGGCGGTTTACTGCTCTAATAAAAAGCCGGTTAACGGATATCCGTTTCTGGCGGGGAGTTGTTATCGGCGTACTTGACTCGGTGCTGCGTGCGCGTGTGTTTATAGGTATCGGGTGTGTTTATCGGAAGGGATCGTGGTGAAGGAGGACATTTTCTTTGGTAATGTTCGGCTATGAAGTTTTTTTTTTTTTTTTTAACTTAATTATACGATATCATTACGATGTTAAGATGGTTAACGTTGCGTTCGTATAATTGGAACGTATAATAATAATATTATCGACATCGGTTAAGTATTACTGGAACTTTTAAACACTAAAAAGCACACATTAAACGGTTGGAATCATAAAAATATCAACTGAATTTGAAGTAGAATTGTAATATAGGTAGTTAGTCGAACTACTAAAAGATTTATATACAACTACATCATTACAGGGTTATTATGATAATGCATATAATGGGAAATGTAATGGATTATTGATGTATTATTGATATTTAACTATTGTTTCCCTAGTATAATGGTGATTAAATTACTTTGTCATTTGTAGAATATAACACTAATATTGTAAAAAACAAACTCTCATGAAGGTCTGTTATTCGTTTCCTCCTCCACTTAACCATCCTTGTGTCCTCATAGTCTATCCTAGATCTAAAAAACTCTGTGTGTCTGTATGAATGTCTGAGTGTATATGTGGGTGAGTGTAAAAGAGGGAGCTCGTGATAATTATTTTGGTAAAAAACCGCTCGTAACAAAACAGCCCCACGGTGGTTATCTTTGAAAAGTGTCCTACCCTCGTCGTGTACAGGCGATAACGCGATCCCCGCCATCCGTCGTCACTGCAACGCCAAGGAATCGGGCGTAAAAATAGGATACGACAAATTAGTACGGGATAGACCCTGCGGAGGATCCGTTTTGTAATATATCAAGGCACGAGAAGGGAGTCCCCGGTGGGTTTAGTTAATCGTGTACGGTTTTTATTTTTCATCCGTTTCTGTTTCGTACGTACGCACTCTCCGCCACACCCCATCGGGTATTATACGGAATTATATGATCAACAATCACTGTCTATTACGCGCGCACTTATAATACACACGTAACGAATGCGTGTCGTTCTCGTTATTGCACAGGAAATGATTTTTTTTCTTTACCGTGTTTCGTAGCGTAAAAAAAAAAAATATTTTTCATTTTTCATCAATCCCTCCGACCCTCCCCGGACCGGGAAATTTAATTTACAGCCCGGAGCTGTAAGCTTTGGTTTGGAATTTAATCGGTTACGGCCGTGAAAGGTGCTATCAATATCGATCGACCGAAACAAGCACACACTAATGTACACTTATCGACGAGTATCGCAGGGCGTGATCGTTTGTGGCCAAACAATTATTACCGTTTTCGTCCGACGATGGTTATAGTACGAAAACTTCTGTCACGTATCCGATCCGCTGGACAATAGAATAATAACAATTAGCACGGGACTGTTTCACGCGGGGCACGCCCCGTATACATGTAATTAGTCCTGTACGTGTTGTTGGTTTCCTCGTAAGATCTCACGATAATTATAGACGACCGTACGGCAGGGCTGGGCAAGATAACTCAAACAAAGTTTTTGAATGCAAAATGGTAGACACTTTCATGATTATTACCTAAATACAAGATACAAGTAGGTATCTGAAACACATATAAGATACAAGATACTCGTACTTAATACCTGTCTAGGTCAATTTCAGTATAATGTCAAGTGACATCGAACGCGCTCAAAATTGTAACACTAATAATAAATAAACATTTTTTTTTTACGAGTACTTATTTAAAAAAAGAAAATATTTAAAAAAATAAGCAAATGTTACGAAAAATATATATACTTATAAAATAATTGTATTTAATGTTATAAATTAAAATGTGTTTATACAATAGGCTGTGAACTTTGAGAATTCTACATTATGTTACGCATAAACAATAAATGTATTATAAAAATATTAGAATTTATATATATTATATACTTTCAAATGCAGACGAAAATTTTACGTGGAATTTATCGCTCTGTATTCTTTTTTTACTTATTCGCATATTACACGTTTAGCTTTTACATCACAACTTACATTTATTATTCCATCAGCATATTAAATAGCCATCTAAGCATTTTGAAATATTACCTATTGAATTATTCCGGATATCCTTGTTTTTTAATAGTGCACGTGCACGTACGAAGTACGTAATATAAACTGACCTGTGACCGGCGGTGACCAACGGAATCTAATCACCTCGTAACCGTTACGTTGCGACCAGGGACTGATTAAGGAGTTTGTCGTTGGTTAGCTCGGGTTGATTTGGTGCCCTACGATGTATTCGAAAAGGCAAGGTTCCAGGAGGAGCTGCATAAAAAAAACTCATAGACATCGGACGTTTAGTGTTCAGAATAAAAAGTATTTCGCGATCGATAAAAAATCACGCAAAAGAAATGAACATTTATGATTCGTCAAATGTGTAAAAAAAAAATTATCTTGATTCACACGAATATTTTTCAAACGATTCGCGCCAAACGCTGGCTCAAACCGTTTATAAAAAGTTTCACTTTCTTGATCTCGAGAACGCAAATGATTCCACTAGTTAATCCGAAAAGCTATTTTCCACGAACTCGCTTTCGTTAAACGACGATATAACACGATTACTACGACCATTTATTACGTTTTGTATGCTTAGTTGTAATGAAACGCTGTTGTAAACGTTTTATTTTCTATTGCATTTTCCCTCGTATTCCGTATATGAACAACACGATTATATCATACCATCGTAATAATGTTACGTGCGGTTAGAATTACAAAACTGTTGGATTTAATTTATTTTCGAAGCGCATATTATTCGATCGCGGTTTCTATGTACGTAAAAAAAAAATTATTTAGGGGCACGCCCGAACTAACGTTGACCGATTGGCGACCTAGGCTGCGGCCCTATCAGTTAATCAGGCCCTGGTTGTGAATCGCACAACTAATCAGTAGTGGCGTTTCGCGGCGGAGCTCGTCCCTTGCACAACGATCGCGATTAGTTCTCGCGTCACGGAGTATGTTTACGATCGGTCGTCGTGACGTTGCGAATACGGAGGCAGAACGCCGTACGCGCAGTGCCCCGCGGCCGAAAACCCTACGCGCGATTTTTATCTCGTACCAGACTCGGCACTGCTCACGTCGACGTCGCGCACGATCCGACCGCCGTATGTTTCGTTTACGGTTTTCTCTCTTTTTTTCTTCTCCGTACGTATTATCGTTTACCGCTTCAAAGTTTGTTATTGTTTCGAATTTCCACGCAGCGGTATCGACTTCCGAGAGGATTTCGCGTTCGTAACGTGTAAATAGTTCTTCGGAAACGGCGGTTCACCCCTACGCCGTACTACGAGTAATTAATTTAACCGGGGAGGGAAACGGAAAAAAAAAATTAAAGGACGAACATACGCCTACGTATATGCATGCAGCGTATTCCCCGTTTGCGTGTTTTTGTTTCCCCCCCCCCTCCCCGTTTCGGTCCCGAAGTGTAATGGTTCACGTTGAAACCGGAGTACGCACTAGTGTTTACGTTTACGTTTGTAAATATTCTTACCAACATAAACACGTCACATGTTAAAAAAAAAAAAAAAACAAACACATTTTTTCCGTAAAACTGGTACACGGATGTACGATGGTAAATATGACGATCGCAACACGCGAAACCGAATAAAACAATATACATAAGTTATGTGGTGTGTATAAATCATTAGTTTTTGCACTCGCTCCGTGGCGAGATGGTGTTACGATATATTAGTGAAAAAAAATACGCTTTAAACCAGTAATATATTCACAAGCATCGGAGTACTTGTATATTAATTCGCTCTAATCTTAGAATTCGAAAATTGATTCCCAGTGAATTCAATTAGTCGGTTTTACGTCATAAATGGTATTCCGTCATCCAGACTTCGAATAATATTCTTAATAACGTTTCATGCATCATAAATAATCACATTTTTCTGTAAATCGAATTTTAAATATTTATAAAAAATCAATTACCAGAAGTAGTATATCCGATTCCCAATGTCGTTCTATCCGATTTTACAATATCCAATCTGTTGTGTTCAATTTTCTTTTAACTCTGTATCTAAAAAGTATGTTACGTGAAACTTTTGGTGCAGATTTACCACTCAAAAGTTTGATCACAAGAAAATAATCAAAAAAAAAAAAAACCTCATTGCAGAAACAATATTAGCCCAGCAATAAAATATAACCGTCGGAATCTAAAAAAAACGTTATTGCGCTACAATGTCGATACCGTAATACAATCAAGTCTCGGTACACTAAGGAGAACAATTACCAATATTTATTGGATTATAAATAATAAAATATACAAACGGAAAATACCGGTAGTGTGCGATTGAAAATAGTAATGACTAACAACTATCGTGTGTATTGAACGATTACTGTTAAAATATACCATTAATTAAACAGTTACGACGGGGTTATAATTTCATTTTTGAACCATTTATCGTTATTTATTGTTTTATGCCAACGGTTAATGCATGAACCGTTAAACACGGTATTGTGTATGGACAATATAACATTGAATAAAATAAAATGTTTTCGTTTGACAGATGGACGTGTGCAGCGCCACTTTGATGGACGTCATACATGCTGTCATCCATGGAACCGATGGATCTGTGTTTTGCTTTGGCCACCAAAATCTAGGTAAATATAATTGCATTTACGGAAAGTTCAACGAGTCACTATGTTAAATCACTTTTGATGTCACATCGATGTGAAATTTAATTCTGTCAATTCAATAAAAACATTCATATTGAAATGCAAATAATTCGAATAATCATACGAAGGTGTGTGTGTGTGTGTGTGTGTGTGTGTTTAAAATAACACAACTTAACACGTAAAATGGAACAATTAACTAGACGTCCCGTTTATATGAGGCGAAAAAAATTTTTCATATTGACTATAACAACTATAGTTTAGTTCAATACCTAAGTATAATTGCAATGTGCGATAGTATTTTAAATGAGAAAAGTTTGATTTAGCTAAAATCCTTTTCCATTATTATATTATTTTATTAATTTATTATCCACAAATTGAAATACCGACCACTCCGGTGTTTGAACAATGATTTCAACCATTACGCTGAATTTTAATCGTGGGGTGAGAAATCGGATAATCAAATTATTCAAATGATTGATGATTCCTATTTCAACATTTTTATTTGTATTTATGTTATGTGTAACAATCATTCAATTATGAACTTTTTATATGATTGTTTTCCACGAAAATAAAACACTGCTGAAATAAAATCTGTCCCAGTAGTACCGTTTCTAAATTATTGGTCACAAAATATTTATGAGCTAAGAAAAAAAAGTTTGTTTTAATTTATGAAAAAATGTTCTTAGCTAAATCACAAATTTCCAATAAATGGTTCGCGTGTTTTAATGAAAAAAATACAAATCATCACATTGTTTTAATTTTTACACTATATATAACAGTCCATCGAGGTTCTATTTCGCAATTTTATTTACAATCAACATTATTTCTACCAGACGATGTCGTGATTACTTATTGTTGCGTCTTTACTGAAATATATGTATGTTGTACTTGTTTGTGAAACCATACTAGGGAAATCGATTTAAATTCAAGGAACGCGAAAGACTTCTTCATTCTCATGTATATATTGAACGAAAAAAAAAAAAAAAACAATCGTTCAATAGTGTTGAAAGTTCGTTGAATTCGATTGCATACATATACATAACACGTACGTATTTATAAAAAGTATATTCGTAAATTCAAAGTGAATCCTGGTCGAATTCAGAAGGATAAGAGTGATTCATTTTTCATTGTTATTAGGGTGCACAGTTTTTTTTTTAAAAGACCCTGCAGAGAGCCGGAATAGAGAACGGTGAACGATTCGAGTACTCTTTTTAGATCGCTATCTTATACTCTCCTATACGATAGTGTTTACCTGTTATGCGGTTTTCAAAAATAATAAAATACACGTAAAAGGAAAATTGAATAACTTAAAAAATTTAAAATAAAAAACATCCAAAAATAATAAAATACAAATCGCCAACGTTTTCTGGGACCTTGACCCGATTCGCGTGAAACTCGTGCGTACAATATTCACATAATTATAGTCTGGTACGGACTTGTTTGTTGCGACCCTTGGACGGTCGTAACGCGTGCACAGGGATATAATGAACACGGCGGCCACGTCTCTTCGGGTCCTGCAGGTAGAGTGGCATAATGATTACGCTGTCACGAACTTTGTGAACGTTGTTACTGGAAACTAAGTTGGCGTATCTGTTGGAAATCCGTCCGGACCGTGTGGGTCACGTGGCGCGTGAGTGCAATACGTCTACCGCGTCCGCAGCACACGGGCAGAGGCGTACACGTGTATCGCGCGGTAATTACCCGGTGTTACCGTGTCGGGTGTGTACATTGTATGTCAGTGCAATGTTCCGTAAGCCGACCGAGGACCGTGTCGAAAGCTGTACACACGTACATCTGTATACGCCGTACGCAGAGGTGGAAGTAGGAATTTTTACGCCCGGGGAAAATGTTAAAATCACGCCCCATCATAGACCGATAATCAAATACTCTTCTCTATAATTTTTTTTTTTTTTTTAATAATTAATGTACAATCATACTTATTGAGTCTTAACCTAAGTGTTTAACCAACGTGAAAATATCAAATCAACCGTTAATACTAACAAAAATTATACCATCTAAAATTTTACGCCCGGGGACGAATCCCCGTTTTCCACCCCCTAGCTCCGCTCCTGCGTATATGTGCAGTACACACGCGCGTCCGGATCGGTTTGTCCGCCCGATATGGGTTTTCGTTTAAAATTCAACAGGCAGCGGTTCCCTTAACCTCTGTCTCGAGCCGCCGTCACCGCGGTGTCGACGACGTGAGCGTACGACTCGCGTATTATATTATTAGCGATATCCGGTCGTTGCAGACATCCGCCGTGGGCGACTTTGCTCTTCGTCCTCGCCAGAGTTCACTTATTGTTACACACATACATATATACGTATATACCGTTGCCGAGCAAACTTCATTAAACTTCCACGCCCACCGATGCTCTTGTTTTATACATTCAAAACTTGTGTCGGTAAACTTTAACAACACGCCCGGAAGACTATAACCATCTGGAATCTGTGTACGTGTGCGTCTGTATGCATAACAAAAGGTCACGAATACGTATAATTAAGTCACCGGTAGCAAATACGATCACTTGTATATTATACGCGTAACTAGTGATCACCTTTAACACGGATTTTTTTCAAACGTCGACCCGTCGGGATAAAGGACGTACACGCCCCAATCAATCAACTTTTCGCATTTTTTTTATTAAATGTATTGTTCTGTGATTCCTGTGAACATTTTCTACCCTCAAACTGGATTGCTGAAAACTGGTGAGGATGGAGATACGTTTCTCTACCTCTACCCGTCACTAATCAAATGTTTGACGGTTTTGAATACATTTACACGTAGTTTATCTTCGTCGAAATTTCCAATACATGAAATCCCTTAAAAACCGAACTACAACGTTGGAATCACTTACGTTAATTTTATAAAATTCCTAAAATATACAAGAGAGGGAAACAATAGTTATAACTACCAATATATATTTAAGTCTAATACTCTACCTTAGAAGTGAAATTCGATTTACAGTACAATGTTGACAGTTTCACATCACATTCTATACATCCATTTTCATAGTGGACCGATAAAATATCGGCTTTGTTCAAATCGATTTATAGAAATTAGGTGAAACGATATTTTCTGCACGCCATGCAAATCGTTAAACGTCCGACTGTAGAATAATAATGTTACACGCGCATTATACGTCGCTTCTGGTTTGTGCTAGATGTATAGTAAGCATAATTTATGTATATATATATGACATATGAGTAAGCGATTTATTGAAGGGACAGGTCTTACACGCCAAAGTATATTATAAATGATCGACACGTGCGTAATGAGACGTAGGAGATAAACCGACTGCGAGAGATATCAATCGTGTAACAATTCGCAACGTTCGTCCAGAGAATTCGATCTAATTTCGTTTTAAGAAAAATACGTTGTTTTTTTCCGGCCTCGCGTACCGTGAATTCCAATCACCCGCCTGCGTATGCAAAAATATAAATTCAGTGTATACGTTTTACGACGTTTGAACCGTGGAAGGCGAACGGTTCAAACTGAGTTCGATTCGCGTTACGCCGATCACTTTGATAATTTTAACCGTGCGACCCCGTCGAATCTACTTATTATCGTGTTTTACTCGCAGGAATATCCTGGTACGCGAGGACCAACACGACCGCGCCGTTGCAATACACTTTTAAATCTAAAACGCGTTCAGCCGCGTACAAGTGAACACGACATTGTCTTATCGTGTTCGTGAGTGTAACTTATCGGAAAACCGTGTAACGCGTGTGCAGCGGAAATCGAAAGAGATAGTTTCGCATTTCACGTGACGTTTTGTGCGTACGGCGCCCATGGACCATGCAAATAAACCCGAGAAACGATATTCGGTCATCGTAGGCCTCGTGGCACGCGGAATGGGGTGCGGCACGGGCAGGGGAACGGGGTAAGTTGCCGGCAAACAACGGGTCGAAACGCTATAAACGGCATTCGTGGCAAACAGCACGCAGTCCGTCAGCTGTACCCTACTAAATAGTAATGAAACCACCGGAACACCATCGCCACTGCCGCAGTTACCGAGCAAACTTTGTTCTCGAACAGCCTTTGCGAGCGAAACGGATTAAACGACAGAAGTACTGCGTGTACGATGTTGTTTGACGTTATTGTTTTATTTCCATCGTCCCACCGATTCAATGATGAACGTAAAACGAACTAACTAATCGTATTTTAAAATCGTAACACCCAAGTACCCGTAGCTCTGTTCCCCAAGCCGGACAATAATATTTTTATTCGAAGTGTACAATAATGGTAATAACTACCACACGAATAATAACAATTACACTAATCGTGTGTATTATGATTATTATTCATTGCTATATAATTAATATGCATTCACATATTTCGTGTACCTACTGTAAAAAAATAATTGAAGTCTTTGAACGGGAAAAATACGAGCTCAGTGTTTAACATTATGAACAATAATGCGAGTAATGAATTCACGATATCATATATCATTTCCAAATATTATACGTATAGAAATCCTGCACGCAACTCGACAATCTCGAACGAACATACGCATATATATATGTATATATATATATAGGCTATATAAGCTATACATTTATGTGCATATAATAACTATAATTCAAATTTAATATTTTTTTTTTATTTTTACATACTAATTAAACTAAAAAGAAATTAAACAAATGGTTTGCATATAATTTTGTAGTTGTTATTAACAAGTTTGTACTGCAAAACTGGTATAATTTGGTTTCGAATTCAATCGGATTACTCGAGTTCCACGCATCGAGAGCGTTCTGACTGAAGTTTGGTACATGAAATTATTATCCTTATTGTCACGTCCGTCGCATACATCATCTACCTTCTATACGTTAGTTATTCATTCGCCGTGTAAAGTTTAAAACAATAATCATACGTGTATAACGCAAGAATAAAAGTAGTACAATATCGATTTGTATGACTACCCGTGGCCGAACGCGGATCGCTTTGCATTTTATTTTAGCGACTTCGCATAGGGAAACGTATATTTTTATACTCGTATGTTAACATCATGGATTATTTAGAACTTTATTTAAAAAGGACCGATCGAAAACGCCCGTAGCATTTCAAGAGCATTTGATGATGTTGTACATGTATAATGTGTGTGCGCGTGTGTGTACAAATATACCATTTTACCTCAGGTTTTCCGCATTGTGTTGCAGGTAAAACGTACACAATGATCGGATCGCCGGAAGACCCGCAAACGTACGGGATTATACCGTGCGCTATTTCGTGGCTGTTCAAAGGCATACAGGAGCAAAAATCAAGGACCGGCGCCCGTTTCTCCGTCCGCGTGTCCGCAGTGGAAGTTTCCGGACCCGCCTGCCCCGTTAAAGACCTTCTGGCCGGCCAATCCAACGGTAATTATTATACGTATACGGAACATTGTTTTACGGTTTCTCGATTGGGGGTACGCGTTAAATCCGATTCCGACGTCAAAAATCCCTTGGAATTCTAATATCTCGATTATCGGTAAATGGTATTATATCTGCACGCAGGGTGCGTGTGGATGTGTAAGGGCGCTTATTATACAGGAAGGGGGAGGGTGATTTTTTTTTATCACCCAAACGAGTATATATATGAATGCGCACACGGAGGGTACTCCGACGCAGCCGATAGAAACGGTAAAGGTTGTTTAAAAATTTCGGGTCGGGGATGAAAACTGTTGAAAACCGTATGAAAAAAAAAAAAAAAAAGAAATAGTAATCCTTATACGGTAAAGAGCGCGAGAAGGGGGAAAAGAAGTAACACGGATTTACGCCCTTTTTTAAGCGTTTTCCGCGAGATAAGCTTTTCGCCGCAGTCGTTTCGACTGCCATTTGAATATTATACACGTCGATACGGTTTTTATGGTTTAAAACGACCAACGTTCACGCCCATGTTTTCGGAGTGCGCGAGACTTGGTTTAAAGAAAACATATCCTACGACCCGTCGGCGTCAACGGGTAAATCAACTTAAACCTTTTTCTTAACTCACCACTTCGCGAACACGCATTATATAAGTGCAATCCGTAAATGTCGATCCATCACTCGAAAGGCCACCGAAAACTTTTGAATTACAAAACGTCACGATAACGGAGCAATAAATTATTGAACACATCGCGTTGAAGAAACATACGTAAAAAAAAAAAAAAACACGCAGCCATTGGTCTGATAAATTTTATCATTCTAGACGAATAATTAGTTCCCGCGCGCGTATTAAAACAATCTATACCCACCGCTGTTGCACCGGTAAGAATTTTGGAAATAAACACCGTTCGATAAACAAATATATTATTTCTTTTGACGTCCGTAACGTGTTTGGAACGTGCGAACGCTGTTTCTTTTGTGTTCCGTCGTTAATATTTCGCACACGTCCGTAAAATAATAATCGAAATAAGCGGACGACGTCCGGCTGCGCGTGTGCATGGGGGGAGGGGGTGGCAGCGGTTCGTATGTTTTTCGCCAAAATTAATATGCGCGATCAAACCGAAAAAAATGGAATAATATTTCAACACCGTATAACAGCGTGTCCGCACTCGTATGGTCGTATATTCTTGGTGCGGACGGACCTGAAAATATAATGAAACTATTCGAGAAACGCGGAGAATTCGAAAAGAACCGAGCAGACGGTGAGAAGAAGAAGTAAAAAAAAAACGATTCCGATCGCGTGAAAATCCGCGACCGTGTTGACGTAGCGGAGAGCTGCAACGGTGTGCGAAGAGGTATTTTTTATATTTTTTATATTTCTTTTCGCCTCGCGACTGGGTTTTTACACCAAGCGGACACGGTAAAAACCGGTTTCGTCCGTCTCGTCGTACACATTATTATTTACCGCTGCTGTCCGGGAGACTTTTCGGTGTCGACCGCAGACGTATCGCGTAATATTATTATTCTCAAAATTATTACTGTCCACGGCGCTGGAGACAGGAACAATATTACGCGCGTATTCAAAAACAGTCAGCGCCCTAGGAAACCGGGTTCGTCGGGCGTGGTCGAAAGCCATAGAAACAGTTCAATAAAAAAAAAAAAAAAACTATAGTTTTCGGCGGCGGGTCCCTGGTGTTTCCACCAGTGGTTTTCGGCATCTTTCGTACCGCAAATGCGAATTTTTTTTTGCAACCCTCTCGAAAAATCAATATTCGAAATCGATTTCGAATCAAACGTCCGAATCCAACGTCGTTTCTGGCGGCCCCTTACACTGATACCACTAGTGTACACGGACAATCACAAACGAAATACTCGCGCCCAGGGCCGTAACAACCAGATATTGCGTCCGGGGTGAAACTTAAGTATTTTAATGCATAATAAAAAACCGGCAGGAAAACTGAATATGTTTTTAAAAGCAATATAAATAATGATTTTTCTTTAAAATTATGAAAGCGTTTGTTAATTTTATTTAAACCAACGACTTATTAATTAAATATAAATATACATCAAGCGGTTTTAATGAATTCATTATTTTGCAGAGTAGACTATAAACATAATTTCATATCTGTGTGTCTGATGTTATTTCGTTGTATGTATCTAATCATATAAAGATTTCTCTTTATAAAACTGTGCAATAAATATTTTTATAAATATAAAATACAAAAGCTGAAAACACTGTATTATCCTACTTACCATTCGGGGAAAAGTAATGATTCTAAATATTTTAGGTACTACAAATAGTGAATTTAGGATTATTATTTTTTAATAACTTATCATTAAAAATTGGACAAGTGTATTTGATTTTTAGAGCATAGATGCATCGAATTCCGCAGGCTTATATTTTATGTAAATACATACCGAGAGAAAGCGAAAGAACTGTTAAAAAAATAAACAGTGCATTAATTATATAAGTACAATTATATATTTACTAATAGTACTAAATATTAATACATGTATTATTTAGTAAGGTTTTATATTTATCATTTTAAATGTCAACAGTCATTAATTTCCGAAGTTTAATTTGATTGAAATATATACTTTAGGCAAACACTAGTTAAACACAAAGTCAGTTGCAATAAACCTTTGATTACCATTAACAAATTAAGGAAATTATGTGAAGATAATAATAATAGAATATAGAATTAATTTCATAAATTTACATCATAAAATGTATAAATTATTCACTGTTATGATATTCCTTGTTCTAATCCGACTTCTTTTTCTTATTTTGACCACAATGTACCCACTCCTCATTCGATGGTCGTTTCCTAGAAAGTTTTTCATGTGTACGACTTCTGGAACGATGACGATGAGACATCTGTTTAAATGCCCTTTCTTCATTATAACTTGTTTCTTGACTTTCAACACCACTCTCTGTGTGTCTACTACCACTGCGTGATTCACTATAACGCATTTCCCTTTGATGTTCATAGTATTCTAACCATGCGTATTCATTAAACCCGTAGCTACAGTAATCAGTATTATCTGCATACGGTTTTAACCAGGGGTTTCCTTCGGTATTACACTCGTGAGCAGGAACACCATTTAATGTGCCCATACTTTTCAAATCTTCCATCATCGAAGATAAAGTAAAATTACCATTTACTACGACAATATCATCATCTTCTTCACTGTCAGATGATAATCCTTTATCTTCAAAAATTTTTCCATTATCGTCTAAGCCTTCAGTTGCGTTTGTTTCGACTAAACTTTTAAGAACTTCAACTGAAGTCTCATTCATCGTATTCTTATTCGTATTCGTATTTGCCATCGTATGGTAGTAATAGGAAATTCAAATAATTAGAACAATAATACTAAATATTTATTCTTTATATTGAACAAACGTTGATAGTAACTGTTACCTAGTATTTTTTTATCATGATAGTGAGCATTCGGTTTACCAAAGATGATACGATTACAAGTTAAACAATATGCTTATGGGAACCGCTGCCCCAGTGCACAATACGGAGACTGATAAACCGTCGTCGAACTTCATTATTCCAATACGAACCGAATAACTGTTATGGCGATAAATAAATTATAACTCGCAAATTTTTCATTTTTCGGCCCCGCCAAGGACTGCGCCCGGGGCGTAGGCACCTCTAGCCCCCTCCTTAACGGCCCTGCTCGCACCGCCCGTCGACTTCGCGCCGGAACACGTACGCGCGTGGTTTTGTAATACGTAGCGACACACGAACTCTTTTCGCCGAACGAAGCGTAATCGAGTTAAGTCTACCGGTCCCAGGCGCGGAAGCCGCGAGCTCGCGCGAAACGCGAGTCCAAGTAAAGTTTTCCGATACGATAACGTTGAATCGATCGCTCGCGCGTACAATTATTCGCGCCGATCTACGGCATACGCGCAACACGACGGTATCCGATGGTCTTGGCGACAGTACGTTTCGTTCGCGTGCAGCCCACCGATTCGTACGGTCACGCGCGTTCGATTAAAGTTTCGAGAAGACCACGAGCCAGCCCGCGTTGAACGGCGCACGTGCACGTATCGCAGAGCGGACGTAATCTTAGGCTGGATTTAGTGCTCGACCGATGGTCAGCGCGTACCGTCGGCACTGACGGTACGCGCCGATCATCGGTCGTGACAAAGCGTTTAGTGCATAGCTGATCGGCAACTATATCGGTCATATTGTGTATGTTATTTCGTTATTAATCAATTTTTATAAAAACTTAAACTTAAACTTTTGGAAAGATGAATCCATACCTAGTAAATTCTATGATATGTGCGTATTATTTACGTAAACAATTTGATATTCATTACAAGAGAGGTCCCACAATGGTGGATTAAGACGCACCTCAGAAACGACACGTTCGGTATCGATGTTCATATTAGAATATATTATAATTAATATAATTATAATATTATAATTACAATTATAATTATATAATACAAATTAAAAAATTTGAGTACAGGCTCACCGTCGGTCGCTCGATCAGCGTCAAACTAAATGCAACCATTTACCGATATGGCCCGTCGGTCGACTGACGTACGCGTGACGGACGAGCTCGACCGACGGTCTTCGTCAGCGCGACGTAGCTGTACGCGCGTATGAACTTTTCAGCGCTGCACTGTAGTTGTTCATATGCATTCATTAATATATCTACGCTCAACCGACGTCAGCGCTGACCGTCGGTCGAGCACTAAATCCAGCCTTACACATGCCAACGTGTTCGTCGTAACGAGATATCGACGGGCGGTGGTGTGCAGGCGTGGAAACGAGTGCGGACGAAAGCCGAAAGTTTCTCTCCGGCCGCGCGCGCGCGCGCGCGGTGATTTATATTCAAACGCGCGCGCCCGCCGCCGCCAAAGTCTTTTAACCGAAGTTCTTGTACCGCGCGCGCACACGTGTACGGCGTATACGTTTACGTGTACGTGTCGGTCCGTCGCTTTTGATTAGCGTCCGGGCCGCGGCAGTCGTCACCTCGAAAAGCACCCGGAAGCCCCGTCGGGTTACGCGCGCGCGCATACCATTAACCCCGTGCACGGGGGCGAGCCGGTGGAAATGAATAATAATAATCCGACGACGACGACGACGACGATTGCAGGACGTTTTTATTAAAAACTACGACCTTCCTCGGCTCGTCCGTTCCGCGCGGCCTCCGAACGCGCACGTGCGCCCGCCCCCGCCCTCACGCGTTATCAATCACAATACAAGTTCCGCCGCCGTCGGAACTTTGTCACCGAAAAACTCGCGTGCGCCGTTGTCGCCGTTTCGCACGTCGTCGCGAGATTTATCGCGTCCCTCGCCTCTTTTTCTCCATTACTGCACCTGCGGATGTCACGCGCGACACACGTGTGTTGTTGTTGCTTTCGCGACACGACACTGCCGCGTGTTTTCCACCGAAAACTTCTCGAGACGTGCCCGGCCGCGGCAGGCACTCTTCGTTTCGGTTAATGGTACATCGCAGCGGCTCCCTATCTTTTTCGGTAGTGCGGACGACCACCCCGACGGTTATAACGTGCACGTCGGTCGTTTACATTTTATTTATTGAAAAACAATCGTCTGTCGACGGAAAAAAAAAAAAAAAAAAAAAACTTCATCAAACCGAATTGTTCGAGGGTCAAACGATTTATTGTGATTTTTGATTGCCCCCCACGAGAATATCCGGATCGAGACTGAAAACTTTTAGCCTTGAATCACTTTCAAAATTCAAATTCAGTTTAAAAAAATTAAAGCAGAAAAAGCTTGTTCGCACGGACGCACAGGTTGTCGAAATATAACGTCCATTATGTTTCTAAGTCGAATTTTAGAGATTGCTGGAATTTCTTGCCGAACATTCAACTAGAACGGTAATAATGGTGTAGTTTTAAAAAACGATTTTAGAGTTCGATCACACAGAAGTTCAATCAACGAATCATCTTCGTTTGCCGATATTTAATATTTTAAAAATATATGTAAGTAATGGTAATATGATAATATGGTTCACGGCCCAGTACCGCCCTGTTCGTGGTTCACGGGTTGCGAATCGCTGATATATCGTAACGCGTGCCCGCATTATCGGAGCCCTGGGGAGGGATGCGTACTGTTCGCCGGCGATCGGTTCCATCAGGACGAGAGAAAACCGATGTGCGCCTGTAGGACGATACCTGCCGGGTGCATTCGATTTAGCCGCATGTGTGCCTCGCAGCGTCGTGTCACCACCGCGGTTACGAACTTTCGCGCACGAAGCCCCGAGGAATACGTATCGACCTCGGCGAACATGCCTTTTGGTTTAGTCTGAAATGTATTTTTACTAATCGATTACATACGAAAAGCAATAACATTTAATAAAACTTTCACGACCCGTCTAACTTGCGCAAAACATGTTATGCACGATATCCATTTTGTCCTTTAAAATGTTGCGCTCGGTATCTTCAAGTCCCTGAGGTCCTTGTACTAAATATGGAACAACGTAAACATTCCGCAGACGCCGACCCATCAACGGTTGTGCGTTTTGGACGCTTATCATTACCATTATTATTATTGTTAACATAAACAATAGCAGATCGTGTTGCCGATTATTGTTTTAGCCGCGTTCGAAGTACTTGTCGACCTCTCGACGCACATTTTTTTCAAATCAAATTAAGAAATGCGTGAAAAAATTAAATATATACACGTATACCGTTCGCTTTTGCTGGTCCCGTTTTTGTTTTTATTCCTCCGCAGTAGAAGTAAAACGGTACAATAACATGTAAATAAGTTATGCAAACATAATAAAATCAACCCTATCAAAACCCAATTAATATTTAAATTTGTACAACATATAAAGCTGTCCGCCGTTTAATTAAAAGCGAGAAACATAAAATTGAATTATTAAACGGGGGTTTATTTTTAAGTTCGTAATAAATTTTAATATTTAAATAAAAGTACACGTATCTTTATTCTATACGACACATGGTTAAGGTCGTAATTTATGTTATTATATTTTTTTTTTTTTTGCTCATAAAACACTGAATAATTAAGCGCAAATAGATAGTATAACAATTTGTTGTCCACGATTCAATGGCATTATAATTTTGTTGTTTTATATTATTGATCACATCTGATGAACAATGAGTAAACATTTTGAACGTTTCGTACATTTTAATTAACCGTACGCGATTTTTTTCATTCATTTCGTGGTGCGAAATCGTATTTCGCCGAGACTTTAAGTTATGCGCCGAAAACGTATTATATTGTCGTGGCGTTGTAGTTGAAAAAAAAAATATCCCGCGTGTTGGAATGGGCTCGTTCGAATAAATAATTCGGAAAAAAGTAAACTATCCGGCATATCCAGCCGCGCACCGTGTCGCGGAGAAAAGTATTTGTGCACGCGTACGGATCACGGTAATAGGTTTATGCCGTTTTCCTTCCGAACAATATTACTCGTACGTAATACGTCTTTAAACGTTTTCGACTGAAAAAATAATAATAATAATAATATTATGGTAATATACCTACGTGACAATGCGCGCCGGGTTCGTGACTCGTGCCGCAGGTTACGGACCTGACCGTAATGACACGCGCACGACGAATCGGATTTCGTTTGTTTTTCACTCGTGTGCGCAATGCGATTGGCGCGTGACTACAATGTCGTATCGATAAACGTTCTCATTTTTTGTTTTTTTCGTTTTTTCTCTATTTTTTTTCTCGTCCTCCGCAGACGGCGACGACAATTTGCCGGGCCCCGGGGTGTACCTTAGGGGCGAAGACCCCGTGTTGGGCATACCGATGCAACACTACAGCGAGCTGCGGGCGCAGACCATCGAGAAGGCGGCGTACTACTTGGACGTGGCGCTGAACGTGAGGAACCCGTGCCCGGAGTCGCACATGCTGTACACGCTGCACGTGTACCAGTACACCGTGCCCACCGGTTCGTCGGCAGGTAAGCTTTGCGTTTTCCGATTCCAGGTGTTTGATAGACACAAAAACGTTGTCGCAAACTTCCAATTGTATACTTCAAAAAAAATTTAATCGGCCGAAGGGAAAAATATTAAATTCGTCGAAGAAAATACAAAACTGAACAAACCTCTACGCATGAATATGTGAAAATCGTGGCATTGGAGAGTCGACCGAAAAAATTGGTTAAAAACATTTTAAAAACGGATGCAAGCCTAAGTAGTTAAATAAACTTTTATAATAAATATAATACTATAATTGAATAACCTCGTGGTGCACCCTGGGCAACTCTAAATGAACCGGGACGCACTTGGGCTTACGTCGAAGTAATGATCTTTTTCTCTTGGGACGCACTCGGGCGATACCTTATTCCGGACGCATTCGGAACATTAAATAAGGGACATTTTGGGACGCACTCGGGAGTTGCCCCCCCCCCCGGACCATGTTGGGCGGCTGAACGTAGATTTACTGTTTTTTCAAAAATATATTTTTTTTTTCCAGTCGGAAATCGTCGAAAGACAACCGTTGTCGTTTCGAATGGTGTCGACGACACGGCAACTGGGAAATCGAATCGATTGAACATTCAACGTTTTAACCACGAACCCTATTATCGCTGTAACCGCGTGTCTTCGGTGAAAACGAATTTGCTTTTGACATGATATTGTCTTGTCTGCGTTTACATCGAAATCCAATTAAACACCAACTTTCTATGACGTCTTAACGTTACGTCACGATATGTTTTATGATAAAATATAAATTATTTTTACCCGACCCGTCGGTGTTTTTCTTATTACACGATGGTTACTTTATATCTTTTAATATAAAAGCAATTTTCCTGTATAGAGATTTTTTCTGTTCGTGCGAAAATGTTTTAAAATTAAATAACATATTAAAACTATTTTATGTACAAAAAAAAAATAAATAATAATAGTACTTTTGCTCTGGTCAAGTTCGTAAAAACTTGTTTCATTAAAATATTGTAACGAAACTTATATATTATGTACCTATAAAAAAAAAAAAATGACATTTCGTAGATATTAAATTTTGGAAAGAGAAAAAAAAATTATATGGTGTTTCTAAGCCGCATTCAAATACTGCATAATAATTTGTATTCAACTAAAACATTTTCATCGTTTAAACAAAATTTATTCGTTTACAGTAGCCGGTGGTAGAAGTCGTTTACATCTATTGGATTTGGGCAGCTGCGAACGAAGCAAATCTTCCGGTGGACTAACGCTTTCCGGCCTTGGAAACGTATTGCTGGCAATATTTAACGGTCAAAAGCATCTACCGCACAGGTTTGTGGTAATCCGAAATCCTCGGTATTTATGTCTTGCGTTATATTTAAAATCATAACTTTCCGACTTGATATATATATTATATTATATGAGAGACAAAAATATAATAACAGAACATTGTCCCCGCAGAAATATAATATATCCCGTGAAATCCTAATATAAGTGAGATATTGCTTATGGGGTGGACGGCAGTTCGATAATAAAAGGCGTACGTCACGTTATGCGGTGTCTTAAGGTCGGCGGGGTGACGAAAGTTTCGCTAAGATATTAGGCTATTAGAACGAAATCCCGTGCAAGATTTACCCTCTATAGCTGTAGACCACCCTCTTAGTGTTTATTTCATATATATATAAATATATATATATATGTATGTATATACGCGGTGGCTTTTATATGTAGTATTCATTCTGAATCAGAAAAACAGGGTCTTACCTTGAACTTTAAAGGGTCGAGACGTTTTTATTGTGCGTAAACCTAGAATAAGCCACCGGTGGTTATATCGAATAAACGGTCATTTTTTTCTTCTTTTTTCCAGGGAACAAAAACTCGCTCAACTTTTGAAAGAATGTTTAAACTCGTTGACGTGCCACGCAGCAATGGTCGCTCATGTTTCGCCGGCCGCTCAGCAGTACACGGAAACGCTGTCCACCGTGCAACTGGCATCTCGGATACATCGGATGCGTAGACGCCGGTTCAAGGTACGAAGGAGATTTTGTTAGGTCAAAAATTCTTGAAAATTTAATACTAAGTTCCTCAAATATATCCATAAATGAAATAAATTTGAGCTTAATTATAAAATAAAAATGACGAACCTATAAATATTAAATATTGTAAAAACTATAAAAATCACGTTACAACATGAAATCTTAAATCTTTCAACAAATTTCGGTTAAAGTGAAACAGTAAAATTATTTTTTATAGTTATAAAAACGTTAAAAGTTCAAACCACCTTATATTACGAAAAATTTGTTCTTTCGTCATATTAACTAACGATTAGATACATAAACTGATGTTCACCCGTTGACTTTCAATTAAAATGGTTTTTTTTTTCAAAATTAAAAAAATCATAACAACAACGCCTAACCTCGTATCTCATCCGACGATCGTGTCTCGACAATTTTTTCGTAAATACGACCCGACAACGATTCGTAAACACCGTGAAACAGTGGTACCTAACCTAATCTGGCCTAACCATGATTTCAGTTTGTTGGCGTGGCCAGCGGCTGCGGCACTTCGGGCGACGCGACCGATCCGAAGACGCAGAATGGCATCGGGTCGAGCGACGTGGAACCATCGAGCAGCGAACAGTCGGCGGACACGGTGATCTACGTGGGGCCCAGCGAGGAGACGGACGGCGAACACCCGCCGGTGCACATACCCAGCCTGTCCGCGGTGGAGAACAGATGCCATCCGCTGAACAAGCTGCTGCTCCGGGAACCGGGACAGAGCAAGTCGACGCCGTCATCACCGCAACGGTCGGTGACCGCCAGCGCCACGGCCAGGGCCGCCCCGGCGTCTAGAGCGGCCGCCAAGCCGAACGGCGTAAGCAGCGCGCGTTCGTCGCCAGTCCGGGCGCCCAGGACCGCGGCTGCGGTGTCTTCCCGGAACTGCAAGGAACGACCGGAAGAACGGTGGATCGACGGGCCGCGAATGTCCAAGAGCCGTGCGCACGGGGCCCGGGCCATGCTGATGGCCGCGGCCAAAAAGGACGACGGCGGTGGTGGCAGCAGGGCGGTCGGTGGCGAAACGTGGATAGACGGTCCTATGCACGGCGGCGGTGCCGGTGGCGGACAACACGCGGACGTGTACGGGTTCATGGACTACCACAAGAAGAACATGATTAAGAAATGGGTGGAGCACCAAGTGTTGTACCAGGTGACGGACAAACAGAACAGGCACCGCGAGATGAAGGAGTACACCACCGCCTCCTTCAGGACGGACGAGCTCGGGCCCAGGGGCCGAGCCAGCGGTCAGGAAGAGGACGGTGACGAAGAGCCAAAGGCGTGCGACCCAATGCCCGCCAGACCGATGACCGAAAACAATCATCAAGTCAGCAGAGGTGAGCGCTGGCAGCGATTCGTTTGTTTCCTTTTCTCAAAGGATTCCCAGGGGGAAGGGTTCCTTGGGTTATGTGCATGTCAACGTATTACTCGTGACATGGCAGAACAGTTTAGCGTGAGATCGCGTAAATTATACGTTTAATATTAGTTTCAAGTGAGCTGAACGTGTTTCCTGTCGTATAGTTTTCATTCCCTGTACGCAAATGTGCAGTTGGATCGAGGGAAGGAACGAAAAACAATATTGTCTCACGTTTTATGCACTGCGCTTACTTTTTTCGTAGAAAAGTTTCCTTTTCTTATTTTGAACAAGTCATGAGTGCTACATGCGAAATTCTACTGCCACATATTCGCAACATGAATTCGCATAAATCAAACAGGAAATACATTTTTTTTTTAATTTTAATAAATTATTACGCGATAAGTGATACGAGGAGGCTTGTTTGAAAGATTCTAGCCCTCCTATCCCATAGTTATACAACGTGCAACTATTTTATATTTGTCTACAGTGGTGTCCATCGAAAGACTCCGGGGATCGAATTCCGACGAGTACAACGAGGAAGACGAGGAAATCGAACTGGAAATCGTCGAGGTCGAAGAACTCGACGAACCCGTCCCGACCCAAGACAGTTGTTTACAGGTAAACGCGATACAGCAGGATGTAGACAGTGACGTATTTAAGAGGGGCGATTTAATGGACCACAGTATTTTTTGTATCCATAGTTTTTGTATCATCAATTTTGATTCGTCGATCGAAAACTATTAATGTCTTAAGAATTCACATAGCGATCGCCCTGCGAATTTTGTTTTCATGATAACATTATCAAAAGTCGACCGCGTAAAATTCATAGACAACAAATATTATCTTTCTCGAAAAATCGTATAAAACGTTTGTAGGGGTGGTGATAATAAAACTTTACCTGGGGCGCGTCAAGACTCTTAACACGTCTGTGGACGTAAGTCGGTACAAATTTACTCGGATCGCGATCATTAGATTCCAATCTAATCGGAACCCTTACCCCGCGTTCGACAGGTGACCGAGGAAGACATAGCGTTCTGCATGGGTGAGCTGGAGAACCCGTTACCGGAAGTCGACCAGGAGGAGCATCCGCTGAGAGTGCTCAGCCAAGAAAACATGACCGTGGTGTCCACGTTCACGGGTATGTACCGCGCACGACGTGCAGTCGCGCATTTTTCGACCCCGTATAACCGAACGTTTTTGATTGTTTGTCGCAGACTCACTGTCGGTGGCCAACGATATCGAGAGGGTTTTCTCCCGGCCCGGCGGCAACTCCTTCGGACAGTTCAACCATCACGGTCGGCTTCAATCGGCGCCGCATCATGAACGGAAATCGTCCAAAGGTTAAATTTGAAAACAAAAAAAAAAAAAAAAAATTTAAAATAAATATCGTTTTCTTCCGCGCAGACCAATCCCGGTACGAGCAGCTGTCCCGGCTCCACGAGCTGTACAACGGCAAAGTCGGCGTACCCAAACACGTTCCCAACAACTTCAACCACTCCACGTCCACGTTGCCGGCTCGCATGCAGTCCGCCTCGCTGTCGGACGTGTTCAAGAACGGCACCGCCGACGACTCACCGTCCACGAACCACGACCACGTCTACCCGTCGAACGATTTCGACAACAACAGCATAGCCAGCGAACCCGCCTACCTGTTGGTGAGCGAAAACGTCTCCTCCGTGTTCGAGCATCTCGCGATGGAGATCCCGTCGATTTTGTTTTCATTTTTTTCGTTTTTTTTTTTTTTTTTTTTTTTCATCTAGAACGACAACAGCCAGTTCTGTCACAACTGTCGGATGAACCTGACCAGCACTGACGATCTGACCGGCAACAACCTGTGGATGCACTACGGCGAACTGCATACGCTCAGCCGTTTTCACACGTTCAAGCACATGTGAGTAACCCGAAATCGGGTGCGAACAAGAAGCGCGATTGACCCGTCCGCAATCCGATGACATTCTGCTCGCGAACGGCAGCCGATATACACCCGAGTTTCTAATTTTTATACTGCGCAAAACTAGTGATGCGAACAACTGCGATATCGACTTTCGCTGCTAGTTTTCAATAACCTACTGAAATGTCTGTAATATTTTTAACCGGTCAACAAACCTACCACGTTGATATCAAGTTAAACTCGCAATTAAAATAGTCATAATTTCGAATTTAGTCATACATAAGTAATGCGTGTACAACTATACGGTTACCTACAAGACGAATATTTAATGCGATTTTATTTATTTATTCACGCAGTATAATCCATATTATCGGTATTAACATAACATTAATGTCAACGGTACGCCGTCATACGATATTGCTGTCCACCTAGAAATGTTCTGCGCGCCTTTCGAGTCGGCTCGTAACTACATCGGCAGTATAAAAATATAATCTCACTATTGAATAGATTTATTCTCATTAAAATCACGTATTAAATTCGTTGTTATTTATTTCGTGGTACTTTGTGTAACAAAATAAAACAAAACATATATTTTTTTTTTCAATAAACTATATAATAACTGTTGATACGTTCGGAGTGTCCGAAAAATAGTTTCGGGTGGTACGACGCCCGTCAAATCGCATCCATTACATCGCTGCTCGTATTGCTTTCAGAAGTAAAAATATATCTAGTCTGAGGCATCCGGACGGCGCGTCGAACCCCAATCTGCAGTCGGAAACTTGCCGGCAGCCCGGGAACGGTGCCGAGGAATGCAAGGACAAGAGGAGTCAGGGCAGCGACGAAGGAGACATCGAAGAGGTGCCGTACCCACCGCCGTTGCAATCGGAACTCCTCTCGCTCAGCAGGGACGGGTGAGCGTAGTCCGCGAGCGACCCCGTGGTCCGAAAATAAGTTTCTTGATTTTAACGTACGCATGTTTTTCCTCGTTCCCCCGCGTAGATTGGATTGCAAGACCAGGGTGCAATCCGTATTGAACGGGTTCATGACGTATTCAGGCCGGTTGAATCACAACTATTCGTCGAACACCAACCAGTCGCACGATCCGGGAGGGAACAACGGTAAATATTTATCTTATATATTACGAATTTTGTTGTTATTGACGTTACGTCACGGACGGGACCGAATTAAAAACATTTCGATATTCCGAAAATATAGGGCGATTGAAAAACGACCAGACCGTCTGGAACGGTGGCAGGACTCGGTTCGAGGACATCAAGCAGCTGAAAGAGTTCAACTTGACCAGCAACAAATTGTTCAGTCAACGGTGGTTTGCAGACAAACAGTAAGCAACGATGACGGTTATAAATTATTACGCATTTTAGTTATGGCTTATGACTAAAATGTGACGTACTAAGTCTGCGAAAAAAAATCACTCGGATGTAATGTACGGCAACGACTACCTTTATGCAATACGTGTAAACCATGGGTTCAAGATTTTTTCGTTTACAGCCTTGTAATAATACACTTAAATCGATTAAAAATATAATCAACTTTAAAAGTATAAATCATAATAACATCACGTATAGTACAACAGATTTATTTCGTTGTTTCGTTTTTTTAACGTTCGTTTTGTACACTTATAAAAATAATATTTAATATTACTAACCGTTACAGTTCAATAAAAATCACATTTTTGTGTATTTCATATCTTGGACCATCATAATGTCCCTTAAAATTTGATTAAGTTAAAACGTTCTTTCGTTATCTATATCAAGTTATTCCAAGTTGTCAATTTTCAACGGATCTCGTACCGTTCAAAGCATGATATTTTCCTCCTTAATGAACGCACTGCAGTCTTTTGACAAATTCTTCGTGTAACCAAAACCCGTTCGCAGCACTCTCGGGCCCCGTCGCTATTCGCTTACGACACCATCTCGATAACGCTAGATACTCAAATATCTGATTACTTATCGACAACTTCAACCTTAGATTTATTCAGAAGTGCCGCGAGGCAAAAGAAATAATAGTGCTCCTCTTTAATTTCAATTGCCGTCGAATAATGATCATTGGTTTCAAAGTTCGCGCGTACAAACGTTCGTAGAGATTTTTTTTTAAGCCGACGCGATGGTACCAGAAACGTTGACCAGCCCTTTCCTCGGCGGCGGCGGCGGCGGCGGCGGCATCGTTCGCAACGTAATCCATTGTAATAACCGTTCGACTGTTTTATTTGCATGCAGAAACCCCAGAGCGAAGAATTTGAACGAAACGGGCAAGAGCAATATTACGGCAGCCACCCATCAGAACGGCAAGTGTGATAGCTAAGGACGGGACGGCTGAGTAACGACGGCGCGTGCAAATTTATCATAACGTTAGAAGAAGAGATTTTCATTTGTTTTTACTGAGTGTAATGCGTACAACAATGTATGATATATGTTCATGTATACGCGTACACTTACACACATGCACGCAATTGCATTAAAATATTATATATAGTGCTGTTCGGTGCGAGTTTAAAATAATTATATTCTAGATATTGTACAGGTTATCAGATTTTTTATGAACGTTAGACGCGTAAAATGCGAACATTATTTACGAAATAATATATTTTTAATAGGCGCACGTAAACACGGCTGTGCTGTCGACGTGTTGTTCGAAAGATTTGTGTCACCACGTCGCACGACACGCGACGTTTCGTTACGATTTTTGGCGAAAAAAAATATTATAATAATAATAAATAAAATGAAAAAAAAACCAGAGCTCACACGCACCGAGTTATTATTCGACCGTAGTGTAATCGTAAATAATATTAATTATTTATTATTATAACATTATATTGAATTAGACTCATTAGATTTTCGTTTTTGTTTCTTTTTTTTTTTTTTATTTACAGTTAATACTGACAGCTGGATTATATAATATTATAGCTATACTACTTATTGTTTGAAAAAAATTTTATGTATATATAATTTATTTTATTTCACTCGTTTGTTACTGTTTTTTATTTTATTTATTATTTTTTTAATGACCATATAGTTGTATTGAGTATATCGAAATAAAACGATTAAATCAATTTGTATTGTCATCGATTTCTCTATTCGTACACGTGCACGCACGTAACGATCCTGTCCCCTGCGCATAGGCGTGCGCAGGATTTTGTGTCGGGTGCAGCATACATTTTTAACCGGCCCTAAAAAACAATAAGCAGTCCACTTATTTCCTTTATATATCCCCCCACACCCCAATCAACGTCTAAGAATTACATATGGGTAGATACAACTTTATAAAATTGCATTACTGCTAATAAAAATCACTTACCTGTTATTAATTCTTTTATTTCAGATTTTTTTTTTTTATTTGTAAAAAAACATTTTTATCTTGTAGAACTTTTCACTAGTCTTCAACAGTAAAAATCTTTGCTTTTCACGAACTTTTTCACGACCACCGAGTCGTTTACTTGACATGACAACGACTAACAGAACACTAGAATGATTTGGAATTTGAATAAGACTGCAGACTGCAGTAACAGTGAAATATCGTTATTAAATTACAAATATAACAGTCGATTGTTGTTATGTGATTACTGATTACTAATTATGGGCAACTATTCCGTTTTTTGGGCTATTATGATTGCGGTTGCGCCTGTATCTGTGGACTGTAAACTAGTGTTTACGTCGAATTTCTCCAGAAATACCCATCTATTTTTAGACTTGTACGGATAAAATATAATTATCATTTTTCATTTGAATAACGTTGAGAATTTATATTTTAATTCAATTATAAACTCAATACGTTTAAAATCATTCATTCTATGTATACCCTTCAAATAAATATCTACCAGCCCACTAAATCCAAAATAAATTGTCAGGTGCAGCGAAATCAACATTCGCTGCACCCGTGCGCACGGTCGTAGAAAATCTTAAAACCGTCTCGTTCAATTCTCTCTCTCTCCGCCTGTCTCCGATGCCGTAACATTCACAGTCCAACGCGTAATCCGAAAATCCAAAAAGCACTCTGCGCGCGCTCTTATGTCCGTCCAGGGCTTATTCTAAGGATTTATATCAACTGCCCAAACGCACTGAAAAGTTTGTTTTATGAAATTTATTTGGATTATAACACTTATCCCCTCCCCGAATGAATTGATGTTTTAGAGTTTTGACCATCGCGTGGTAAAACATTGAAAAAAAAAAAAAAAAAAATACTTACATAATTATTACTTATCGGGTACTCCAGGTCGGGTGTATCAATACACAAGTTTCAAAACACTCGGTAGAAATGCAATCGTTCTACAAGGAAAACTAATAGTTTTGTAAGGTTGATACATGTTTATAGAGTCAACTGCCCTTTTGATTTTTCTCAGTACCCAATTTCGGTCGTCCGGCCCGTTGGAATAAGACCTGTCTGCAGTGGACGTCGATCACGAGCGCCATCGCGGGTACGCGATTGGCGTTCGCCAACGTGTTATTATTATAATATACAAATTACCGAAGTATATTAACGTGCATTCGGTAACCGGTTGGCCGCGTGGTCGCTTACGATGTTGTTGCTCCGTCCGTTGACGGTCGTCTGCGGAGGGGAATACGGTTTCGATGGACGAGATCGGAAAGCGAATCGCGATTTTTCGGAATGGTTGCTGCGGTCTCGCGAATATTCCGACACGCGCGCGCGAGCTCACGAACAGTATTTGTATTACTTGCGTGCCGGCGGTTTTTATTTATTCCAGTCCTGACCAACTGAATCGGTTATTGAGTCCGAGTCCGAAAAGCGAAACTTTCGGCAAACTAAAAAATATCTGTTTTTCTCGTACGGTTTTGCGCGAAAAAAATTACGAAAATTATTCTCAATTTTCGTGTACACTGCACTCGTTTAAATTTGTGAAAACTCACACGCTCGGAGACGCTGTATGTTACACGCTACGTACAGTTGCGTAGGTGCACGAGAGGGAAAATCTCGGGATAAACCTCCGTCGAAAGTTAAAAATAATGTAATTACGATGATTACCCGTTGAGAAATCGGTCGGTCACGCGTGCAAATACCATTGTAAAACCTTCTCCCGAAGGAAAATCGAAATCATGGCACCGGCGTGATCCGATTTTTAACGTGGACGATAATTCGTCAGGTCGATAAATTTTCAACGGCCGCCGCGGAACGATTTATTCCGAAGACGCCGGTCGCGATCTGGCGAGAAGTGGGGAGGGGGAAAGGGATGATCTGCCCCGGCCCCCTGAAATTAGGGACTACGAATTATCAAAAATTTGTCATAACTAATGACAAGAGTTTAATGAAACACTGCAGAAAAAATTAAGATACACCCCCGGGCCCGGGTTTCTCTCTCCGCGGCCCTGGTCGCGATAACGTAATAACGCGTGCGCACGGTCGTGGTAGCCAAAAACGTAAACCGATTTCTCGTTTAGTAATTTTCCACGCCTGCAGTTCGATTTCGGAGGGCTACGACCGCGCGCGTTGCAGATATTGAAATCGGACGTCTGCACGCCGTTTACCGCGCACATATTTCAATACGCGCACGGGACGGAGGGCGTGAAATTATAGTCGAACCGCATCGTCGCAGCCGTGAAATATGCATTTACGCGGTCGATTCTTAGTGAGAAAAATGAAAAAATAAATAAATACTTAACGCCGACGACGGCTGTGCACCGTTCTTCTCCTTTCGACACGTGTTCGTCGGACTGCTGTTGATGCGATTCATTCCGATACGTACTCCGTGTAAAACGGTTTTTCGTCGAACACTCTCCGGTGCACTCGCCGTAGAAAATCGAAAATATCTAGTGCGACGACCGTTGTTATGGCGCGTACGATTTATATCCACAGATCGTTGCCGACCAGAACCACTACCGGAGTCGAAGCTCTAACGAACAGAAATCTAAAAATAACTTTGGATTTTTCTGAAAAATAATGTTTAATCGGTTGCACAAATAATTAATCACGGGCACTTTGTCGTCTATCCGTATACTCTGTTATACGTCCATACATTTATTTTCCCCACGACAAGAACGGAGACATGTAATTAGTCAACGAACCGGGTGCAACAGGATTGAGCACTGTTCCTATTCCATCCTGCTTTTCGGTGTCACGATAGCGCTTTTTCGGTACATCTTTAAATGTTTAAAACGAGTTTCTTTCACTGGACGAATATATACTGTACAGTTACAAGTAGAATCGTTATATTTTTTCATTCTAATATTTTTACGTCAATTCTATCATGAAAATAATCCCTTCTGGTATGTATAAATGCGTATTAATTACTAATTAGTAACTCTATCTGTTCGACGCACACTCTTAAGCCGCTGAACCGATTTTTATGAAATTCGGTACAACGATAGATTTAGACATTGAAGAAGGTCATAGGCTACTTTTTGTCGCGCCAACAATGAAATGGAAGCATCAGTAACAGATCATGTGTGGCTACCCGAACGGACAGTTTTTGTTGTGTCGTTATTGCTATAACAATCAAAAAAAAAAAAACGGAGCGTGCTGTACTTAAAAGATTTTTTGCTTACGTTAATGTTGTTCGGTAAAATACAGTAGTTTTTCCGTTTCTCCCGGTTTATTTTTATTTCGATATACCTCGTAAATACAAATCTAATCTAGCTCGTAGTTCTAAGAAAACATCGCGTTGTTTACTAGAATACACGATTCTGTTGAACAGACTCAGATCCGTTTGACTTTAGATGCCTTGCGTCATGCTGCTCAAAGGGATGCCGAGACATTAGACCGAACTTTAGATGTTAAGCGTCACGCGTCAATGATACCTGCTAAGACCATTGAAGTGTCACAAGGACGACGTGGTTTAAATGCTGAACGGCAGTCTTAAAAAACGTACATTTATACTTACAAACGTGCCGAGATCCTGTCCGTTTATCGATGTCGGATCGACAAACTTCTTAGGTGTCCCATAGATATTCTGTCGAATGGTACCGACGCCAGTGAGTAACATCCGGTGTGCCGCGTGTAGCGGCCAGAGGCTAAAACATATAGTTTTTCGTACTGGACACTTGAAGATTTTGTCATACTCCCCTTCCATACGTTAACAGTAATAAATAACACAAAGAAAAAAGTTGGAATTTTAGATTTTGCTGATGATACATCTTGGAATTTTCAAAAATAAGTTTAATAATTTAATAAAATAATGTAAAATTAAGAACAAATACCATAATGTAGATAATAAAACCACTTTTGAGTTTCGTACTACACACTTAACATTTCGTATTTCACAAAGTGTGTCATACAACTTTTTAGTCCGTGGTAGCAACAACGATTTAAAACAATTCTTTCTACGACCTGTCGAGAAAAAACTATCGTTCGCACCAGCTGTACCGATGTTTACGTGGTTTATCGAAAAATCCACTGTGATCACTAGAGTTAGGATGGTAATAGCCAATAAAACACACAAAAATTCCCTAAAAAAATATGAAAAATGCCCTGAAAAATTCAAAAAATTATCTTAAAAATGATCTAAAAAACTAATTAGGTAAGTGAAAAAAATGTATTTATAAATAATATTTTTTACTATAGATATGGGTGTAATAGTAATCTAAATTATGAATTACAAATTATAATAAACAACAGTTTACATTTACAATTTAAGCATGATATAAAATTATTGATTATTAAATTTGTTTCCAAACTTGGGTGTAACACTTGCTCTAAAATGTAAGATTTGAGAAAAATGCCGCACATTGTACAAAGAAGAATACGAGAAATGACCTAAGAGATGAAAAAATGACGTAAAAATGTTGAAAAACAAAGTTGAATAATAAAAAAAAAATGCATTTATAGCTAGAAATGCCTAAAAATGAAAAAAAAAAAAAAAATACGA